TCCTAATTGCTCCCACAGCCTGTCCCCAAACACCACAGTCAGGTGTTCTCACCTTTAACCTCACAGTGGGGACTGAACATCAGCACCCGAACAGTCCAGGGACACTTGCAAACCATCATTTGCCTGCTGCACTTACAGAATGAGAGCAGAGTCAAACCACAGCATGCAGCCAGCTTTCCGAAAAGTGCAACTTGAATCCTGCATATCCCAATTAAAATCTGAGCTCTAATTTGGAAAGGTTCACACATTGGTTATAGAAAGGATTAATTATTAAAATGTGTGCCACTCATGAGATGAAATATCCTGTGAAGTGCATCTGGAGTACTAGAAGCTTTTAAAGAGCATTTGCCCTCATCACCATGAGCAGGTCCCCTGACTCTGGCTGACACAGCACAGCCACTCAGCCAGCCAATGCTACAGCGCATGAGTTTGAAGGAAAAACAGAGAAGACTTCAGCCCAAGACATGCCTTTGGTAAAACCTTTGCAACGTGTCCCCCACTGATGGCCACGTGTCCCACACCTCTGGGAATGCCCAGGCCTCTTGTCTGTAAGTCCAAGGTCACGGTGACATGACTGGGACTTGAGCAGTTGTGCGAACTGCTGTTCCATACTGAGGCAGCCAGTGAACCTTGAAGCCAGGTCATGGTCTTGAGAGGAAAGTGGCATTGACATTGTCTAATTCGGGCTGCATGTGTTGTGTGGCTGACAACCTCATTTTTTTTTTTTAGATTTATTTTATTTGCGCGCGTGTGTGTGTGTGTGTGTGTGTGTGTGTGTGTGTGTGTGTGTGTGTGTGTGCCTGCATGAGTAGGTGCAGCACATGTGTGCTGGAGTCCACAGAGGCCAGAAGAGGGTGTCAGACCCTCTGGAACTGGAGTTACAGATGGTTGTGAGCCGCCATGTGGGTACTGGAAACTGAAACTGGAAACATGTCCTCTGCAAGAGCAGCCAGTGTTCTTAACCAGTCAGCCATCTCCCCCGCCCCCACCTCATTCTTTTATAGTTTATTAAATTTTTAGATTAGTATACAAGGAAGGGTTTTCACCCTGGTGTCTTCATACATATATGTCATTATTGCTTCTCATCCATTCCTGCCCTTCCCCACAGCCACCTGTCCTATCAGGCTTGGCCCCCTGTTATTCCCCAGTTAGCACGCCCTTTGGCTCTGTGTGTGTGTGTGTGTGTGTGTGTGTGTGTGTGTGTGTGTGTGTGTGTGTGTGTGTGCCTGCTTGTGTATCTGTGCACCACTTGCATGTCTGGTGCCTGTGGAGGCCAGAAGAGGGCATCATAACTAAAGTCATAGACAGTTGTGAACCACTGTCTGGATATACTGGAAATTGAACCTGGGTCCTCTGGAAGAGCAGCCAGTGCTCCTAACCACTGGATTACCTCTCTAGCCCTACATCTGCTTTAAAAAAAAAAATAAATAAATAAAAAAAAAAAAAGAATTAAAAAAAATTTTAATTACACACATGTGTGTGAGTGAGTGTGTGTATGTATGTATGTATGTATGTATGTATGTATGTATGTATGTATGTATGTATATGCACATGAGTGCAGGTACCATAGAGAACAGAAGAGGGCACTGGATACACAGTTGGATCTGGAGTTACAGGTGGTTGTGGATCCTGGGATTCGAACTTGCGTCCTCTGCAAGATCAGTGCTGGCTCCACCACTCCAGGTCTTTCCGCTTTCTCATCACGTGCATTCTGTTACCATCTCACTTCCCACGTGGTCCTGTGGCTGTGCCATCTCCAGTCCCCACAGAGACAACAATCCGTCTTCCTCTTTTTCCAGCAGACTGTACTGGTTAAAGCAGCTGAGCTGTGGCCTCTGAGCAGACAGGGCTGGGGGACTTCACAGGATCCTCCACGCAAGGACAGTCGCAAGGACAGTCACGCCCAGACGACCCCCGATGACCTGCCACAGACCACGTTTTCTAAGAACCGTTTTGTTCACTGATACAAAAACAGGAATTCATGATGCTGTACAGAATTTTTATTTTTAAACTGTCTTTTAAATAATATATTCTTATACAGAAACAGGTCTGTACTTTTTCTTTGGGTTTGGCACTCGGGCTTCCAAGGACCCTGGTGTTCCCTGGGATGTGTCTTCAAATGGTTGAACAGTAATGTGACCCAAGGGTCCGTGTAAATTGCACATTAAACATCGGAATGGTGCCCGAGTGCAGGGGCGTGCACGTGTCCTGTGTTTATGAACAAAGCGGGAGACACTCGGGGACGTGCGCATGGCCAGTATTTATGAACAGGGGAGGCAGCAGGGGTGTGTACCGGAGCTGAGGGATGAGTCAGGCTGCATAAGAGCTGAGGAGGGAGACAGATGCCCTCCTGATCACCAGGACCACGACAGCTGCTGCTGCTGCTGCTGCTGCTGCTGCTGCTGCTGCTGCACAATTGCAGGGCATTGGGATCTACTACTGGAATCCTCAGTGTATCCAAGGGACTCTTTTCCCAAAGAAGAGATGTCCTGTCCTTCATTTTTGGAGGACAGGCAGTGGGTACATTCCAGATGTCGTGGTAACTGCCCAGGGAACCCAGCCCCCTCATGTCACAACACCCTGCTTACCCTTGTCTTCTCATGCACCTGGACTCTGAATTCTCGATTTACTCTTAATGTTTTAATTCTTTTTTGGTTTGGTTTCGTTTGGTTTTTTGAGACAGGGTTTCTTTGTGTAGCCCTGGCTGTCCTGGAACTCACTCTGTAG